CTCGCCTCTCCCCCCCCCGCCACTGGTCTCACCTTCCACTGGGGAGAAGGAGGTTTCTCCCATCCAGTCCTTGGGGCAGGACAAACGACCCCACAAGCAGGAGGTACAGGAATGGATATTTCTCTCTTAGACACTCAAGGAAATCCTCAAGGAACCCCATCCAGCTGTGAACCCTGCCACGTTCTTCTGTGGCCTGCTGAAAAACATGTGTCCGAAGCCCTGGACGTACAAGGACCGTCTCTCCATCCCATCCACCATGCACGTCTCAACACCCCCTCCCGGCCCCCCGCTCCATGTGCATCCTACAGAGAGAGAGAAGGCGAAACGGGGGCCTTTCTTTGGGTTTGAAAGGAGGGGCTCTTGCACGAGGAAGTGATCCCAGCACAGGAAAGGGGCTCTTGCACAAGGAAGCATCCTCCTACCAGGCAGGCTGTTGCACAGAAGGAGCACCCCCTTGAGACAGGCTGTCGGTCAAGGGGCTGCCATGGACAGGGTTACACGGCCAGAAGAGGCTGTCGCAGGAGGAGAGGCCGGAGACTGTTGCACGAGGAGGGCCGCCGCGCCAGCGGTGCCCCTGGGCGCAGGCGATGCACGAGAGGCTTTCTGCTCCCTGGGTTGAGGTCTCTCTAGGAGCTGGAGAGGTGCTCCACTTGGATGGCGCTGGTGCTGACAGTGAGGCAGATGTCCTTGTGATGCTCTGAAGTCTTGTAAGGAGTCAGGTCAAAGGAGCACTGGGGGGGAGGGTTGGGTGGGTTAGTGTCTCCAGAAGGGCCTCCCGCTGCCCCCCCGCCCTGCGGCTGGAAGTGCTGCTGCTGCTGAGAGGCCTGGGCTTGCGCCTGAACCACCTGCTGCTGTGGGTCAGGGATGTTGTGTTTCCGCATGTGCTTCATCAGGTACGTCTCCTGCAACGGGAAGAAGGGCGTGAGCGGAGGGGACCACGTTCACAAAAGCCAAAGCCAACGGGAAGGGACTCGACAGCTCAGGGGGCTGCTCCCGTTGGATCTAGAGGAACTACTCCCTGGGAGGCACGTCCACTTCAGCTACCTGATCTTCTAGTGGCCTTCCACTACCTAAAGGTGCTACAGGAAAGCTGGAGAGGGGCTTTGGACAAGGGCGTGTAGTGACAGGACAAGGCGAAATGGCTTTAAACTGAAAGAGAGGAGATTTCGATTGGAAATAAGGAAGAAATTCTTCCCTCTGAGGGCGGTGAGGCACTGGCACAGGTTGCCCAGAGAAGCTGTGGCTGCCCCCTCCCTGGAAGTGGTCCAGGCCAGGTTGGATGTGGCTTTGGGCAAGCTGGTGTAGTGGAGGGTGTCCCTGCCCATGGCAGGGGGCTGGAACTGGATGGTCTTTGAGGTCCCTTCCAACCCACACCCTTCCATGACTCTGTGATTCTATACCCAGCAGGGCAGCAAAGACTCACCGAGGTGTAGGCCCGGCTGCAGATGGTGCAGGTGTAGACCTTGGCGTGTTTCACCGTGTGCGTAGCCAGGTGCACCTCCAACGAGGCAGCATCCGTGTACGCACGGTGGCAGTTGTGGCACTTGAAAGGTTTGTCTTTGTTGTGCTGCCGTCTGTGGGACTGGGAGGCAGCAGCGAGGTGGAGGAAAGGGAAAGCAAGCGCAGGGAAGGAAGGGAGCATGAATACTTGGGAAGGCTTTGCTTCCAACACCCCTCCCAGCCATGCCCCGGGCTCCCGCGTGCAGAGGGAGGTACGCCTGGCTCCTAGCTCAGGGCCCATCACACCTTCCCCACAGATGCCCTTTTTTCTCCAGCATACTCGGCATTTGCAGAGCAGAGCCTCCTAACTCTCCACGGCCCCCATCTTCTCAGTCTCCAGCCACCTCTTCCTCAGCCTTTTCCTTTTCTTTTTCTCTCCTCTCCTGCCTCATGACACATTTGCTCCTGGCATCTGTCGCTGCCCTTCAGGGCAGGATCTGCTTTAACCGCTGGCAGGCATTGAGAGCTCTCTGCCATTTGGCTCACCCTACAGCTCCCCTCCTCCAGGACACTGCCACAGGACACGCCACCTCTGCTTCCCCAAATCCCCGCACTCTCACGCTCTCCATTTCATTGCAAAACAAACCAACCAACCAAACCCCAATCGGATACCCAGATTTTATTCTGTGTGACATTTAGCAGAAGTCTCGCCCCAGCTAAGTTAGAAAATTCCGCAGAAGAGACCGGATCAACTTCACCAAGGTCTCACCGCTTTCAAGTCAAGTTTACAATTTTACAGGGTGCAGCTACTTTATGTGACTTCTTTGGGTCACTGGTGCTACAAAAAGCAGGAATCTCTCCCCCGCCCAGGGCTTCAACAGCTTTTCTGTATTCTTTCACTCCCCTCCCAGCTGCCTCAGTTTCTCCATCTCCTCCACCACAGGCAAGCAGTCTCTCCTTCTACTTGCCAGCCACCCTTGCCACCCCACCGGTGCACGGACGAGCCCAGCCCCTTACCTGCAGGTTGGAAAGCTGGGTGAAAGCCTTTTCACACCCAGGGTGAGCGCATTTGTAGGGTCGGTCCCCGGTGTGGATACTGTTGAGGAGGAAGAGAAGAAAGGGGAGGCAGTGAGCAGGCAGGCGGGGTACTGTGCTCGGACCTCGCAGCCGCTCAGGAGAGCGGGGAAGGGGATGATGTTGCCTCCAGACGCTGGTCTGTCTGGACAAAGAGAGCTCTGCCCAGCTCCCGTATCCAGCTAAACGGTAGAGAAGACGGGCGGTCAAGCAGATTTCAGAGAGTGACAAGGACTGAGGAGCAAGAGCTTACGACTGCCTGGCCAGCTTGGCATGTGGGCCACCTGAAAACAGGTTGGGAAGGGGTCTGGAGGTCCAGGCTCCCTGCTCCAAGCTTAGGAGTCCCGTATCACCAAGAGGAGTTCGTTCTGCTTCCGCAGTACCGAGAAAACAGCTCTGTTCCTTCTCAGGACTGACACTCCAACGCTTTTCCCTTTACATTATCAGGCTGAGATCACCTACAGCATCCATCTGTCCCTGTCCCCCCTGCCATGCCAGGAGAAGCTTCCACACGCTCAGTCCAACCCCCGCGGTGCCAGGCTGGGATCCCCTACGGCCAATGCCTCTCTCTCTATCGCTCTCTCTCTCTGTGCCCGCCGCGGTGCAGGACCAAGGATCCCCGGGGGACGGCACGTGCCCACCTCAGCCCTGACGCGGTCGGTGTCTCCTGCGCAGCCTC